GTGGATATACGTAATATATAGGTACTGTTTATTTTTTTAAGGTATATTCGACCTGATTATTCTGATCAGAATTTCTCAGGTGCCGATTTTTTCAACAAAAAATATAAAAAAAATTACTTAAAATAATACAATACAACTTAGGTAGTGATATACTGTTTGTATATCTAATTTAGGTAGAACAATAAAAAATTGCGAGTTTATGCTAATGTTTTATTTTATTTTTCTTTATTCGGCGAAATATTATCATTTATTATCTGTACCCATGTCAAGTCATAAATTGATTTTTTTTTCATTGAACAGTTTGTTTCAAAAGCTTTGGGTCATGAATTACACAAATAGTGGTGGTTACACAAATAATAGTTATTATAATAATGTACAAAAAATTATGTAGTTTCCTTAATAAAAGTGTAGTTTATGTTTGTTACAGTCGCTTAACCAGTATACATATAGGCAAAGGGCGCGACTGCGCTGACTTTCTATATATGCCATTTATGTCATAGAGTGAGTCAAAATAAATTATCTAGGAGGCATATTGATGTGAGATTTTTATAAATGAAATTTTCACAACAGTCTTTCCCAACTAGAGGATTCTTTTTAAATTCGACTAGTTAAAACCGAAAAATTTCGTAATTATATGAAATTGTAAGGCATATTTTTGATATTAAATAAATAATAAGTTAAATGGTATTTTGAAAAATTACTTGGTGGAAGATTACTTGGTCATTAAATGAGGATTGACAATACTAAGTATATCCTTCATTGTCTCCGTTGCACCATAATTGCAGTTATTGTTAAATCTAGTTGGTGCAACTAGCCCTTATTTTTTACGTTTATGTTATACATTTAAACATTAGTTCGCGGCGGTCGGTAACGCATCAAACACTTCATTAAAAACAACAAAGTAAACCATTTGAAATCAGTCTAATTATTTATACTTATAAACTAATAAAATACACAATACTCATAAGTAGTATCTATTGAAGCCGCCATCAGTCTTTTTCGAGAGATCTTTGAACATTAAACATTATGTACCTTTTCAATTAATAAAATTTGCACACGGCAGCACATCAGATCACTACAGAGGCCTTTTTGCGAACGACTCTTAACTTAATTATCGTCAGACTAAAGCGTTAAACCGATTGGAAACTTTTGGTCTTTAATAGCGTTAACCTGACGTAGCTACTATCGCTATATAAATGCGATTAAAATATACTTTGCTATTAGAGTCCAATGCTTTAGTAGTTGTGGCAAAAGAATTCATGTTTCATGAAATTAAAATGTGTAGTTCAGTCAGTGGCGGACTAAGGCGGAGAGGGCGGGGCGTCCCACGGGGGGCCTCCAAATGGCTGCAGCCATCCGCCAAAATAATATTATAATAAAGTTAAAAATGTATGCAAGGGGGGAGGGGTTGTTAACGCACTATTAAGTTTCTACCCCGGTTGGAAAAACTTGTCGATCACGGCCGCCAATGAGGCAAGTCCGCCACTGAGTTTAGTACAAGTAAATAATAAAACCAATTTGGTTAACACATTGTTAATAACTTTCTAATTGCAAAATATATATTTCTCAAAGTATTATGTATTCAAAAAAAAATATTGATTATTTAACGATTAAAATGGCGACTTCAGATCAAAAACAAACAAACATATATCAGTCACAACACTACTAGTATACGACTTGTGTACAGACAGACTGCATCTCGATCGCTACGGCCACGTTGCAACGTCGCCTAAATTAATGTCAATTATACTAACTTTTCGGTAATAATGCAGCTCATCTGATACACTGCGCCTAGTGAGTAGTTGAGCAATGGAAGAGAGCACAGGAAGTTGTCGCGAGCCATAATGACGAATGTTATTTTTATGATAATGTTATTATTATAAAATATTTTGTGACGAATAAAGTTTTGATTTTGAAATTTATAATTCGTAAAAGAATTTCGTTGCGCGAAATATATTAATATATAAAATTTAGTCATTACAAATTTAAAAATTCGAAAAAAGTACTTACATTCATCAAAAGACAAAAGTTATCAATTATTTAAATTTATTCAATTATTAAAAGGAGTGTTTAGTATTGTGGCTGTGTATGTCAGCCATACATACAAAACATCTTCAAAAGTTAAAGTCGAAGTATTATTCCTCTCATTTGGTCTCGCACATTAACTATAAATAATTAATAATTATAAATGGAACAATATTTATATACACGGAACGTGTGTCCGTTACAAAATACTAGTTTTTATATTTATAATTAGATGTTTTAAATACAAAAAAAAAAAACATTAATGTTCGCTCGTTTAGAGATAAGTCTTATACAGGCGTCATTATTAAAAACGTTTTTTTCATTGTTTTGGGTATATTTAAACTGCAATTTACTTATAACATAATCATATAAATTTCACATTACCTCATTTCGTGCTTAATCTACACCGCGATTGATAGAAGTTGAATATTAGATAGTTCTCGATAAAAAAACGATATTATTGTAAGGCAACTTTATCTCCATACGTGTGAACAATGTAACCTATAACGTTCAGTACGTCGAAATAACACCAACCGTATTTATATGTGAAAGTACAAAATATTTACAAGTGCGGTACGATCGAACGTTCAAAATATCAATCAATATTCATTATTACGCTAAAAACCACAAATATTTTACAAAATATTTAGAAAAAAATGCACTGCATCCGACATTTTGTAAAGGAAATATCACTCATTTAACTACTAACTACTTGTTACTTAGTTTGGTTACGGTATATGATAGTGCAATAAACCGTCACCACCGAGACGTCGTTCTTACTCAACCAAACTTACATAAATATACACCCGGTTTCTGAATAGAGTATTTTAAGTTAAACACGTCTCAAACTGTACTCAAACAGGTTTTTGTTTCTGATTTTAGTTTTTTTTTATGTTTGATAAAAACTAGGACTTTTGCTTTGTGATAAATTTAAAAAACTTAAGTTATTGAGAACAATCAGTTAAGATTTTATACTTTACTCAATTCAGAGACAGGCCGATAGTCTTTTTTTTTTTTCGGCATCAGTTAGTGATCGTGATATTTCCCTTTAACATTAATATAAGGAACAATACATTTTTACATTGAGCGTGGTACGACATAGTGACACTGTGCTGATACAGATCTGTACAAATGTATAAGTATCAAAAGTACAATGTACAGGCGCCATCTAGTGGGCGGAATAATTAAGCCTAATTGAGAAGATCACGGACAAGCTGACTGAAGGAATTCATTTTTATTTATAAAATAAATAAATAGATGTAATGCACGCAACATTATAAATAGACAGTATGTTATATAGAGGTTCGAACAAAACATAATTAATATATTATTCATGCTCTATTGAAACGAAATGACATTCCTTCAGTCGGCCACATCGCACCCCTTTATACTTTATATATATAAACTTACTATCCTAGCGCTATTATGACTAGTTCTTTACATAAAGATATACAACGTGTCTGTCTATTCATCACGGGACCAGTGTGGAAGCAGTGTGTAAGGGAATGCTTAAAGTACTATATGTCAGTATATTATAACTAGTATTCAGACAAGGCTCGACCCGTTGGTCCATTTTAATAACTAGGTATATCTTTAATAAATAATTTATAACTCATTGATAAGTGATTATTAAATCAGAGGACTCAGTATTTACTAGAATGTGAATTTAATATCGTATAATTTATGGTAGAAATTAATGAAATCAAATATTTTTAGTTCATCTTATCCACACTGATCAGTAAATATTTAAAATTGTTCGAAAAAAGTTTTCCAATAAGTAATAGCTAGACACAGAACACTTTGGACTTAAAACTAACGCATTAAAGTCGTGAATACGTTGACACGAATTCTTTGTTCGTTTCGATGTCAGTACGAATAATATACCCGTCAAAATGTGACAATAAAAGTTTATTGGCATTCAATATAAGCACAAAAAATATATTAAAAAAGAAAAATAATTATTAATACGTATATAACAATCTAACTTAAATGAAAATAAAATTTATAATTATTGAAGATTTTAGGTGTATTCTTTAAAGCCCGATTCTGAAGAAGGTCAAAATACTGATGTTATAAAAGAGGAATTGTTTGATTACAACAAATAAGCTCTGAAACTACTGGACCGATTTTAACAATTCTTCTACATCATATGCAGTGAACATAGGCTATATTTTATCCCGAAAATAGCAATTAAAGGGATGAAAATGGTAGTGGAAATTTGTATAGGGAATTAAAACGTTACCATAGTAACGGTTGTTTACTATTTTATTTGTCATTGTTATTATCCGTGTCATGTCGATCATCCAAATAAACAGTTCTCTAGGGACCGCGCAGAGGAAGCCACTGACAGAAAGATAGTTTATAATAAAATTCAATTTACCGTAATTAATAAAATTTAACCGACACATTAAAACGGGTATTTTAAAATAAAATTTAAAAAAAATAATATTAATAAATTATGGCAACTCTTAGTCGTTTTAATTTATAATAATTAATCTATTTATCACTATCACTTTAATTATACGCGTGTATATAATATAACACACTCGTATAAATCACATGTATAAAGTAAAATAAACGTTAGTCTTGTAATTTTAAGTCGTATTTATACAATTCAGTTTTAGAAATGAAAAACAGGAAAAAAATATTTTATCAACAACTCCCAAATCTAGTAAAAAAATACCGATTCAGTGTTCTTCTGTGATTCATTACTAATGTTAGAGCCGAAGATTCTTCTTTTATATTACTTGCAACATTTTAACAAGTATTAGACTAATTTTTATATGATGTTTTTTTTTCATTTACAGTGTGAATTATATTTTTTCTGGTATTAAAAAGTTATGCTATACACATTTTCAAGTCACCCAGAGCGTGTTGCTGTTATATATTTCCTATAAGTTACTCAGTACCTCTGGGACGCGTTTCGTTGCTGTTGTTTCACGTGTATGGGCATGGTGATGTATGACGGGCGGCGGCTAGCAGTGGAACTGTTGCTGTGTGATGGCTGAGAGGTCCTTCATGAGTCCCTCGAGGTTCTGCATCTCGCGGTGCAGCCTCTCCGTGGACCTGGACGGCGTCAGCGGCTCCAGCTCCATAGGACAGTGACTCACGCTGCCACCTGGATCATATACACATCAATATGATATCAGATTACCACCAAGTTGCACAAACGTCCATTTTGGTTTAATGACGACTTAGAGCTCTAATGAATGTTCTAAATTTGAAATTTTTATCGATAACGTAGCTTTAAACTCATGAAAACTTTAATGAACGTTTGTTCAACTGCGTGTGTGATTAAATACGAGTATGATAGATATAATGTATAGAGTAAATATTAATGCTCGTCTTAAGTTAATTATTTCAATATCTGCTATTTAGTAAAACATTTTTTTATTTAGATTAGAAGCCTCAGAAGCTATTAATAGACTGAAGATGATAATAATGATAACAGTAATAACAGTAGCATCGTCTGACCTAGCTGCAGTCTGTTGGGTATATGCCCCGGTGATGAACTTGCACTCTTCTTATAGGGGGACGTCTCTCTACCTGAACCTGCTGGATGGTGTATACATATTTTATACATTCATTTATATAGTAGCTATAATAAGAACTAAAAATTGTAAGTTCTGTGCTTAGTCAAATTTAAGGATTGAACTACTATCATATTGACGTCGTCGATTCAGAGGAATGATTTGAGTCAATTATAATTTAACGTTTATTTAAGAGATACAGTATAACAAGATTAAAGCATATATTAGGGAGTGCACAAAACAAAATTATGTATTGTAATTAGCGATAACTAGCTTCCATCTGCTAATATGCAAATCACAAATCAGAATCAAAACAGTTTATTTCCACACAGAAGTTACCACAAACAGACAGATATCGTCAATCAAATATGGACTTAACTGTTTACAACCTAAGGTTTCAAAGTAATTTGAGGTATTGTATGATCTGTAGGGCAATAGCCCATGTTAGCGTTATTATGGAAAGTCGCTTCAATTGCAACCTTTTAGGACACAGTTCTTGTTTCTAGTAACAAGCACAGTTACAAAATAATAAATTTATCTGTTACATTATATATTACAATTGATTTGTGAGGAAGGCAAAGCACTAATAAAATTGGACTTCGGGTAGACAGTACAATAGTAAAACCCTATAGTTAAGATTCTATTAAAATTAGCATAATTGAGCCCGTGATGTGTTGTTGTATAGTGTCAATGCTCCAATGCTCACCCCTAGAGTGTGCGGGCGTGGAATGTTCGGAGCTGTTGTCGAGGAAGCCGCGTCTCAGCGACCCCGCCCCCGCCCCTGCCCCCACGCCAGTCCCCGGACCAGGTCCCACCCCCGCCCCCGGACCCGTCGCATCGCTGCTCAGCGAGTCACGACTACCACACATACAGATAATTTTCAAGGATATCATAGTAACAAAATTATAAGAACGATTCAAATTTTCTGAATTTTCGTTCAAAATATCAATGAAATATAGAATAGACCCTCAGGTGTCATGTTAATTTGTACGATTTATAGAAACTGCACATTAATTTGGTGTCCATAAATACCACCTTAACCGATATCAAGTATATTGTAATTGAATAAAGTGGAACTCAACTTTTATTTATAAAGTATAAAGCGACCAACTGCGATGCGTCAACATATCGACATCTCCTCATGGGTCAAATACTTATCATCAGACTGTGTATGAACCACAAGTAGTTACAATTATACGTAATAGCTTTAAGAAAATATTCTTAATGATAAATGCTTGAAAATCCACTTTGTCCCTGGCACTCTGAGATAAGACTCGAACTCATAACCTTTCGCAATCCAGGCAACTGCCCCATCCACTGAGCTACCCAGGATCTAATAGGACTGACGAATTACACTCACACGGAATGACAGGTAGATGAGCGATTGAAGCAGTCGGCCGGATTGTGAAAAGTCATGGGTTCGAGTACTCATCTCAGAATGCCAGGGACAAAGTAGACTTTTAAGCTTTTTTCATTAAAAATATTTTTCAGTATAGCATTATGAATGCAAAATTGATCAGATGTAATAATTACAGAAAATAATGAAAATTAGTGGATAAATTTGTGTGACATAATTTAACAACCATAGGTAGTCCAAATGAATATTAAAAAATATATGTAGTGAGACTCACTGCGTGTAGTGTCCTAGTGGTTCGTAGGCCACGTAGTGCCCTCTCTCTCTAGCTGCGCACGCGTATATGTCCCCGCCCCCTGCTCCGCCCCCTGCCGCGCATGCCGCCCCCAGCGGACATGCCGCCGACCCACCTATGTAAAACATTAGTAATGCAGACGTTAGAAGTATAGATAAGACGGTCTATTTTATCTATTGGAAATTTCGTAAAATAGCATCTTACCTTCCATGTTACTTTTTTTTTGTTGAACAAATGAACTAAGCTTACAGAAATAATAAAAAAATACTCGTCTCTATGATACATGCTGATAAGTTGTTGTATATAATGCTCACATGTCGGTGGCGGGGGATGAGATGGGTGAGCGTGGAGCGAGCCCAGCGATGCCTGTGGAGAGCCCAGTGGACCCACGCTCGACAGCAGCGGGGTACTCTACAGAAACAATAACGGTACTATGCTATACACATTTACTGCTATTTATTGTTCTACTTCCGATAAGTGCTTGAAGGATATGTGTTATTTGTTTTATTTATTTTTTTAAGAGATTCACGACACAAATTTTATCAGACAACATTTTCTTAGATTACAAATATAATAAAGTAGGACGCAAAAAATCTTTCATTGAAATAAAATCACATTTAAAGAATTAAATAAAAATGAATCGATAAATAAATGAGTGTATTATTAGTGGTAGGTATATATGTTCCATAATTATGTATATTTCACCTGGTCTGGTAGTGGATGTCGCGCGTGCGGGCGGCGGTCACACGTGGCCGCGCACCCCACGCCCACGCCCACGCCCACACCCGTCATAGCTACGGACACACGTACAAATATTAATAATATATTACTTGCTCCCAGTTGCACAAAAGTCCATTAAAATCGTCATTACCTTAATACGTAATTACCGATATACATTTTAAAATTTAGATTATACATTAAATCTATAGATGTAACATATGGGTGTATACAGCAAACGAAAATATATTTTTTTCTGTTAGTGTTTAATATGCGATTACCGAGAATAACACTTATATGCTTATTATATTTAAAATATTGCTTAAATTAATTATGAAAAAAAATATATATATATATATATATATTATACTCGTCGTCACGTGACCGCAAACAACACGTGACGTCACGCCCTCCTACTCATATCAGAACGTAGAGAATTAAACCTTGTGCATACACTATATACTCTACACAAGTATTAGTGTCTGTAGTGTAGTGTGTATAACTCACGTATATAGTCGCATCGTCGGCACGCTGGTTGTGAGGCGGGGGAGGCGCGAGACATGCACGCGTCATCGCTGCTGCACGACGCGCCGCTACCTACAGCGATCGACCGATAGGAACCAAAAGTAACAACATAACAATAACTAACATAACCAAACAAACAAACAAAAATAAACAAATATATCCGTAGTGATGTGCAAAAAAAATTACTATGTAACTAGTTAAACTATATTGACTGCTCACTTTAACTGAATGAAATTCAATATTTCAGCTTTTAAGATCGTATCTATAATACCAATTTTCTGTAGTGCACATAGTTTGCAAATAGACTTTTAACTTTCATTTAATAATTTATAGAAGCTATTAAATAAAAATAAAAAAAACAGAAATGCTTATTCTCGATCATACCGATCGAAAGTATACGTATATTAACTTAACATTGGCAATTGGCATAGCTATGTACATATTTACCATTCAATTCATTAACATTCTGTGTTTTATCACATTATTACTTCTTTATTTAAAAATAGTTTACATACAATTATATTATTTGCAATCAATTCAATTTGCATCCATTGAAAATAAAAATAAAAACTATCAAAAAAAATAAAAATAAAAAAAGTTAAATAATTATCAATTTACAAAAATTATATAAAATTGAACTAGAATGAACACAAGGAGCGTACTTACGTCATACTCGTCCACGTATTATATCATTATTTATGATACTGAAGATGGTGTGTGTGAGATGTCATACAAACCTACGTACGCACACGCAGGAGCGACGTTACATGTTTCTAGTGGTATATCATTACCTATATTATGTGGTTTCGGTATGCATACATGTCTTCTCTGCGAAAACTGGAGGATCGAAGTGTTTGGACTATCCTCTATTATAATTCAATCTTATTCGGGACGATGTGTGCGCTTCAGGGATACAGGAATAAGAATGATGACTACTTTTTTTTTGTTTGTCCGTAGTCAAGTAGATTACTAAAGAATATTAAATACATATTTTTAAAATTTTTGGCGTATTTCTTAATTATGGCGATACATAGAGTTGAATTTTCGCATGACGTCACGCTTTTCAACATTTTCTACGAAGCTGTGACGTAGTGAACGTCTACGCCTTACCGTTAATACTTGTTATCTAAACCATTTCTTTTTAATTGAAGCAAAAAAAAATAAGTATCTGATATTTACTAATAATCGACTGACGGACTAAATAGAATGTCTTTTTTTACCTATTCGAGTGAATATATATAATCATCGTCTCTATTCGAGTGAATACAAAAGATTATAGACCGGCTCCTGGCGGACGAATAGTCTTCTTTCTGCAAGTAAAATCAAGAGGCCCGCGCACACAGTACATAGGATACGTGTAGGCAGTAGATACAGGTGCTTACGTCCAATAGGAATATAAGTGAGAGTATACGTACCGAGGTATGTGGGCACGTAATGGCAGCGGTCAAAGGAGGCGGGGTGGATAGAGTATACGTACCGACGTATGTGGGCACGTAGTGGCGGCGGTCAAAGGAGGCGTGGCGGATAGAGTATACGTACCGACGTATGTGGGCACGTAGTGTCGACGGTCAAGGGAGGCAGGGCGGGGGCGAGCGGGCTCGTAGTCACCAGGAGCCGGCGGCGGCCGCGCCAAGGTCAGCGTCGATGACATCAGTGGCCCGGTCTCCCCACTCCCACCCGATACTGGACATCACGTGTGTACGATTAACATGATATTATGCTGTCCTTGTAAGCAAAGTTAAATCAAACATGATATTTAATGTAAATGACAATGTCAGTACAGAAATCTAGACTCAAAAATATGATAAACTAGATTTTTTTTTACATTTATCTCCTATAAGATATCTTTCAGTAGGCACAACGGTAACGTTCGCAATTCTCTTTATGCGGCGACTGTGCTATAAATTAATAGTTATTCGATTTCGGTAAAATAAAAGGTCCTTCTCTATAGTTTTATTATAATACGGGTGTAGACAGTAAACAAAAATAAATACATTTATTTTTCCTGGTAGTGTTTAATATACTATTACCGATAATCACATTTTATGCTTATTATATTTAAATTATTGCTTAAATTTATCATGAAAATATATATATTTTATACTCGTTGACACGTCACGCCCCCCTTACTCATATGAAAACTTAGAGAATTAAATCTTATGCATACATAGAACAATATTACTTTGAGAGGGGCGTGACGTCATGACAGACGTTGGCGTTTTCGCGGGAAATTTTGAAAATTAAATTTAGATTTTAACTTATTATATGAATGATACTTTTTATATATATATTTTTAGGCATATTTCATGTAAATCCATCTATAGAATATAAATATATTTTTTTAATTGTCTACACTTCTATTATTAGCGTGTATAGAAGTAATAGAGGACATATAATGTATAGTATATATGTTAAGCGAGTGAGTGAACAGCGTCGTACTCTTACTAGCGCTGGAATGTATCCCCTTGTCCATATGCTTGAGCTCCATCTGGTCGTGATGTATCCACAGGTCAGGCGGCTTGATGCCCGCCGACGCTGACGACTTCTGGTATGTGCTGGATATATATACTAATGTTATGCACGAGGAACAAAATTTGACCTTTTAATTTATTGCATGAAATTAAGATAACATCCTTGAAGTATTTTTGGTAGATAAATTACGAGCACATTAAAAGTATCCAACAAAAATAATCTGACATCATCAAAGTACTGTAGACTACTATCTAATCTAGTACTGTACACTACCTTTGTAGCAGAGTTCGAGCACCAGTTTCAAGGTGTCGCCATCTCTGAGGTCCCGGGTTCGATTCTCGGTCGGGTCAAAATGATCTTTTCTATATTGTCGCGGGTCTGAATATTGTGAAACCTTCTTTATCTAAAGTACTCATAATACGAGTGCTTTAGCTAAAATCGTGTTTGACTCCATGCCTACCTTATGTAATGCAATTACAGCGATGCGGTTCTCTTCACCCCACCCCATTTTAACATTACCAAATAGTTTATAATGTACCCACGTGAAAATTGAAAAAACAATGAACATTCATACAAAAATGACAGATTCGAAATTCAAAAGTAATATTTACACGGTACACAGACATTTTGAAAATCGTGTTTGACTCCATGCCTACCTTATGTAATGCAATTACAGCGATGCGGTTCTCTTCACCCCGCCCCATTTTAACATTACCAAATAGTTTATAATGTACTGACGTGAAAATTGAAAAGACAATGAACATTCATACAAAAATGACAGATTCGAAATTCAAAAGTAATATTTTGTTTATTTTTATTTCTAACAGTATTTATGGCCAGTCTTTTTCACATGCATAGCATGGGTACGTTTATATGAAGCTTTTAGTGATGCGATCATAAAAATCTATACACAAAAATTCGATGTTATAGAGTTCATTTCTAATATAGATAATCGATTATGAGGTCAATATAATTTTAATATGCGAATTTAAATAAAGATCTAATAGATACACAATGAAACTATCTTTAATAAGATGATTATTAATAATTTGGAAATACAAATTGCGTGAAATGGATTTGTTAACAACCATCACCAGTAACCAATCTATGTGAAACGGACTAAAAGTATATTTACTCGTGTCACATATATACTACACACCTGGTGTCTGGGGAGAGGGGCGGGGCGCGGCGGCAGCAGAGTGAGAGCGCGAGGGCTGCGGCTAATGCCAGTACGGCACACGCGCCCCCCGCGGAAGCCCACAGCCACGCGGATGTCGCCGACGCCAGTCCTCCGCCCTCGCCGGACTCTACATAGAAAAAATGTCTACACATATAACAGCTGACAAAGCATGTAAAGTCGCTTTGAAAAAAAAATCTTTTAACCTCTCGTCTGTGACGTCCTGTGACAGGACACATTTTCAAAAAAGCAATTAAGGCGGATCTATTGATCCCATGACAGGACTTTCCACATATACGGGTTTGAGCACTGATTTTGGAATCTAAGGTCTAGAAAAATTGAAAGATAATTAATTATTTTATATAATTACAATTTTTTTAAATTCTAATAAGATTTTTCAATTTATAAATTTTATCTTATTATATTCAGATTCTTTGGGTTTTAATATTTTTTTATCAAATCTGATAAAACAATATTCACATAAAAATTTGTACACTCATATACACTCACGGATGTTGTTTCATAGATTATTTTTAATTAAAAATGTAAAGAATATATTCATTTTAGTTAACAACAAGAAATATTATTTACTATTCCATGATTAAATTAGTAGCAGTCACCAATACTTACAATTATTTATACAAACACAAGCGTCAACTCGCGGCCATCACTGACACAGCCGTTCATAAACCGAAACATTGATTTCCAACTTTTTTTGTACTATAGTCGTCCTAAATTATATGCAAGACGGAAAGCCAATTCATTCCTAAACGATTCTTCACCTGTACAAAGGAATAACATCTTTAGTTACGTTGAAATAAGGCCCGAAATTAAGCAAGGTGATAACACCATGACCGCGTCCTGTAACAGGACTGTCCACAGACAAGAGCAAGCTAATTTATTATATCACAAGATGCGTCCACAGACGAGAGGTTAATCTATTCAAACCAATCCGAATTTGGTATATTTAAAGTTTTTTTTTTTTAATATTATTTGAAACAGTTTGAAACAGAACAGAACAAAAATTATCTTTTGAAAATACGTATAAATGAAAATCGATATCCTAATACTCATTTTATCATAATTAAATCATGACTCTAATCGATTTGAATATTTTTTTCGAAATGATGATGGTCAATATTTTTAATCTACCTAAAGTTAGGTGAACCTCACAAGTAAATGTAAGTTAGAATGTAACGTGTGTGTAGACTGACCGAGCGGTGTGGTATAAACGAGGGGAGTGCAGAAGGGGCCGAGTCCCTTGTTGTTCCGGGCTTGAACCTTGAATAGGTACGAAGTCCGAGGCCGCAACCGCTCCACCCGCGCCCTACCGCGTTCCCCCGCCACTGAAACCGCCGCCCACTCCTCCCCACCCCCAGTACGCTGGATGGCGTACATCACCACGTATCCTATACGTGTACCAGTAAACATAATAATAAAAAGTGGACACGCAGAACAACACTACTCCTAGCCTAAAGAAGAAGAATGTGAATTCTTCTTCTTTAGGCTAGGAGCCTAAAGAAGAAGCCTCGTTAGAATCAGATAAAAATTCTTGGCATGAGAAAATAAGCAATGAAAATGAGTTGTTTTATAAGGCTGACTAATTTATGAATTTTTTACCTTCTGTTTTAGAGACCAAAATTAACCAAAGTTCGCTAATACCCACTTTTTATAAAGAAGCTTAAAAATCTGGCACATTTTTAAGCCTGTTTTAGGAATTATGAAGATACCTATTTAGATTTTTACTTGATTTGAATTGATTGACACTTGTTTACTGAACTCAGAATTAACAGAATGTAACGTCTTCATTTTCATTAGGCATAAAACTAACATCATCTTAAGATTTAATTTGGCGATTCGGATATCGCACAACCACCACGATGAAAGTCTCTCATACGTCACCGGCAACCTTTTATAAAAACAAACATCTTGCAAGATAAAAATACTTGCAGCTATCTATGTATCTTAAATTAACAAAAAGCTATAGGATGATAAGTTATCAATGTTAATACTTTCGTACCTGTGATTTGTCCGTTGGGTTTGGCGGGCGGGCTCCAGGCAAGTTCGACGTACCGTGAGGGGGGCGCGGGGGGCGGCGGGGGAGAGGCACGCAGGTCGCGGGGAGCCGACGCGGGGGGCGCCTCCAGACTCGTGTTCGACACTATCATCGACCACTGCGACTCACGACCGCCTGACACCACAATGTCACAAACACATACTTTATCCTATCAAAACTCAGAACGATAAAATCTACAAAAAGTACCTAGTTTTTCAGATATTTCCTAATAATGCAATTCCTGAGTGATACGACAGAAAAAGATATATTATTGTGTCCAATAAATTGATCAGTATCAGTAATATTAGATATATGCATTACTATTCTTAATTAAACTATAAACCTTATTGAATATATAGATAAAGTTTATTCTAATTATTGAACGATAAATAATGATATATAATAATACAGACCACGTATGAGTTTGACGGCGAATTCGTAATGTGTGTTTGGCTTAAGTTCGTCTATCATGCAGTTGAGGTCTGTAGCGTTGTAGGTGTGCGGCCGCGAGCCCTGCGTCGTCCATCTCACTACATACCGACGTCCATCCGTAGCAGTCTACATATATACACAGTACATCATGAATCTATATACCCATCCTATACACGACTATGGAAAGTATATATTCCGATCACATTTGGGTTTCACTCAATTTATTGGCGCCATGAAAAAACACTGTCAAGGCATATTTTACCCTACGCCCAGGCATGTGGATAAAGTCCACAGCAAAAGCGGTATCGTTTGCATATTTTCCCACACTTACAGTGTATATATAGTTAATTTTTTCTTACTTGAGATAAGTTGTAAACAAAGAATTGTAAAACACAAATCACGAGATTGTCATAAGAATCGCTTAATTTAAGCTTTTATAACCACTTATGTTCACTAGTTTATACATTAAGACATTCATTTCCACTGATAATAGCTTGAAACCACCTATAATAATAACATTTCCTATCCAAAATTGTAAATCTAACAAGGTCAATAATAACTAGATGTCGCGTAAGTTTGATATTTAATAGGGAAGCGATTAAATGAATGAAAGAATCATTTGAAATTGTGAAATAAAAAATGGTTTGAAATAAAATTTTCTTTTATATTTTGATATATAAAGTTTTTTTACGGCAGTGAGGTTTTTCAATGCGGCAATATTAGTTTTTTTTTTGCGATTAACTGTTGTTGTCATCCATAAATATTCATTAAAAATGATAACTTTTTTTAGTCTGTGTGTCAGGTAGATCATTGAAAAATATTAAACACGTATTATTTCCTATCGATAAATTACGGCGATACATTGAGTTTAAATTCACATGATTTCACGGTTTTGTTCATTTTCTATAAAGCTGTGACGAATCCAAAATAATTTAAATTAATGCTGTTAAAAATAGACGTATTTGCTAAAAGGTCTCCGTCACCGTTTGCCGTTTTATTGCCAAATAATTATATTTCTTCTGGTAATAAAAATATTTTTAAACTCAACTAAAATTACTACTAATTTATAAATCTACGGTAAATCACAAGAAGGTACTATAATATTCTACAACATTTCAAAGAAAAATCAACCTAATAAATACTTATAAAAAATATTTACTTAATAAATACTTATAAAAAAATGATCAACGAGATAAAACCGATACTCATATTTTCCCTAAATCATCTAATCATCATAATCCTTTTCTTATTCTTATATAGTCGCATTGTAAAATATATATTGTTTTAATACTAAATTATTAATAGAAAAAAAATTATTTCATACGCAATAATTCAGTAGATCATTCATTACATAATTCAATGTTTCACTGCCCTATCAAATGTCAAATTTCACAAAGACGCCATATTTGTTTAAGAGTTACCTCAAGTAAGAAAAAATAGACCATAAATAGTAGATCTACTGAGTAGGGGATAAAATGTGAGACCCAGAAAACTAACCAACCCACGTTAAGGCAGATTTCTTTTTCTTTTTTTAAATCATCTCGTAAGTTATGGAAATTATCTCATAAGTCTATCTTGCTAAACTCGATCACTTGCCTAAGAGATGTCTAAAATTCCGTAATACATATTGTACTACTCCTTATTTTCAAGAAATCATTTACTATTAACTACCTTTTGGATTTGTTGCATTTATTTATTTATAGTGCATTCATCAATTCAGTTTTCGCAATACAGAATAACTAAATATAAGTCTGGTGCATACTTTATAGGTACCTTTAGACATGGCATGATATCCATTATATCATGTTCAACATCTACTTTTTTATTTGCTTTAATTAAATAGTTAAACAATAAACGGTCAGATGCACAAACGTCCATTAAGGTTTAATGACGCCTTTAAGCTCTAATAAATGTCAAACTTGTATGGGTAATGTTGCTTTAAACTAATGAAAAATTTAATGGTCGTTTGTGCAACTGGCTGAAAGGCAAACAAAAACAAAAATAACACATCAGTGATTAATAATGATATGTAATAATTACCTGTCCTTTAGGTAGTGTAGGGTCCGTCCAGTATACCACGGCTGTCGTGCCGCTCAACATTATCACCTGATATATTAAAATAAACTTAAGTGTATATAAAAATAACATTATTATTTTTTAATAAATTTTTTGTTATAAAAATAACAAGTTTATTATTTTTAAATTAATATAGATAATAAACATATTTATTTATCAGGTGCGTAATGATTAGAGGTGGTTCAATTTAGCTTAAGCGTGTTATTTTAACACGTTATTCGTACTTAGCCCTTAATGCTGCTAAATATGTAAATGTTAGGACGTGAATTTAGCGCACTCATTCGCAACGATCATAAGCGCTCGCGGCTGAGAGGGCAGTATTCGCGTGGTCGCGAACTCTAATGGACGCGTGAAGAATATATTCTAACAGTACGTTTAATACATTCGCGCGCGAGGTCGATCTTGCATTCAACTTGTAGGCGCGAATGTTAATGGACGCGTTAACGATTTATTCTTGTAGCATGTTAAATATGATCGTGTATTATTAATACAGTTAATTTGGTTGATATTTTAAATTCTTTAGTTAAAGAGATGTAAAAATGTATCACGTGTAGATAATAAATGTACTTGCGTAGTTTATTTACTTTTATTTCACATATATAAGAATAAAATATCAATAAATAATTATTTACTTTAGCATGGTTCAACTCAAAGATCGACATATAATTAAAACCTTATTACAAGATTTAGCGTTCTGCTTGATTTATTGTGTCGGTCACGCACTCTTTTTATTACGTATTACGTTAGGAAATTAGCGGATTAATCAGGACGTTAATGTTTTTTAGCATTTAGTCTGTAGCTTTTTAACGTATTATTGTCGTTTTGGACAACTCTAGTAGTGATCACCTTGAGTCCGACCGGTGGCAACAGTTCAGGTGGCTGTTCGTCAACTAGTCGCTCGTCGTCATCATCGTCATCATCCGCGTCATCAACGTCGTCGTCATCGTCGGCGGCGTCGTGCGCGGGCGGCGGCCGCGTGCGGACCGTCGCGTACCCGGCCGGGCCCAGGCCCAACGCGTTAGAACCACGCAATGATATCACGTACTCCTCGTTAGACTCTAAAACGTCAACATTTACCTCATGTTATTATATGATTCTATGACGTAACGAATATATGATGATCGGAGGGTTCTGTTTATAAATGAATAAGAATTTTAAACCAAGATTCTAAATGTTTCATATTACATTAAATTCGCATCATTCGCAATCGCATCTCAATAGAATCTCAACTACTTGCATTTTGCCATTGTACTATCTATCTGAAGTCCAATACTATTATATATCTCTCACCATTTATGTGTCAGGAAAACATTGCACTTATAATATTGGACTTTAGGTAGATACATAGTACAATGTTCAAATACAATAAACATATGTTTATTTTGACAATTTTTACCTTGAAATTAGCTACAGGAATTCGGAAGCAGTAATATTTTATTGAAATGTAGTCAATATCAAGTGCAGATCACTCACTGAGTCCCCGGATGACGTGCGAGTGTGTCCCGGGCGGGAGTTCCCGGGACGCCGTGTCCGGGACACCCAATCCCCACCCCAGCACCCAGCCCCACGCCTCCTCCGCCTCCGTCTCCTTCTCTGTGTCCCACCACACTGAGATCCAATCACGGCCGGCGCGAGCTGTTGAGCGTGTAAATCATATTATAAAAACGAACAATCACATAAATCTTGATAATGTAAAACATAGTTTTCTAAAAACGTTGGGAAGATTCATGAACCTATTTTCTTAACAGCTGAAAGAAATGATGAATGACGAATGATGTTGACTTTTACAGTCATATGGATCAACGTGATAACGTAAATGTTGTCTGATGTTAGCTGTTCCAGGAAGTTAACGAAGAGACAACGAAGATACCACAACACCCAGACCAGAGATAATACAGAAAAGTTCATTTCCTACATTGACTCGACCGAGAATCGAAACCGGGACCTCAGAGATGGCAACACCTTGAAACCGGTGTGCAAACCACTCAGCTACGGAGATCATTGTGTAGTTAAAAAGAACAAAAGTAGCTCGGTGGAGTAGTGGATAAGCGGTATGGGTGACCAAAAAATTATTATCTCGAGCAACCTTTGCCTGCAGCTGCATCTGCAGTTGATAATATACTTCTTTCTAGGCTCTTTCACCGTCCATAAAGAAGGCCCTAGCTATACTCCAATCCGCATTAAACCATCGTGGAGAACCATGGCACATGGCCCTAGCCCCTGGAGTGGAGACGTCAAAAGGCTGATGATTATTATGTATAGAAGTATGTTCAAAGCTTGCGTTAGGATTAGTGGTGTATAGTCGCGGCCGCATGCATCTGTATGAGTCACTCACTAGTGAGCGGCGGCGGGCGCGGCGGCACGGCGGCGGCGTCGTGTCGCGGGCGGCGCGGCGTGGCGGCGGTCACCCACTCGCTGAACGGACCCGAGCCGTTCGCATTCAGCGCGCACACGCGGATCTACACACCATATGTTCAATGAGGAAGTATTTAAAAAAAAACCATTAGTTCCCGAAATCAAACTAGATGTCGGTACGGTATGTTCTTGATTTCTCCATGACAACCCTTCCGGATTTTTTTCATGTTGAAAAGTAAATTAGTTTTCAAAATTCAATAAACAACTCATATTCTATTTGTACTTTTTCGTATTTGTATTGATATCTAAGCTTCGTACTTTTCAAATTTCAGTTTTTTAATATGTTAGTTAAAAGGAACGGAAATGACTGTCTTTGGTCCATTTGTTTCCTGCAAAAATCAACTTTTGCTAGAGTCGCCATCTAGTGAAGGTGCTTTTAAGTGCTTTCGTTTTTTTTACTACTTCCTCATTATCATAATATCAGGTCATCATATAAATGACTAATTTCCAAAATTAATTGTGAACACATGATGGATCACGTCATATTATAGAAAACTGTCAGATTTGTCCACTTTGAACAATGAGGGTACAGATCAAAATCAATTGCAGAATTTTAACATTTTGTGGGTAATCTGACGTACATCCATGTGAACATAAACAATACATCCAAGAGTAAAACACTGTTAAAATTCTAGAAGAGGCGTTAAATACTATTAATGGTCTAAGTCAAAGCTTTTTTTTTTAATCTTTCAAATGCCAATCGGTAGTACTTATAAAGATATCGTTATGTATAATAGATTTCGAGTATAATAAGGAATTTTGAATAATCATATATGTTACTGATTGACAAAAATAAATAGATCGTATCCATTTCAAAATTAAAACAAACTTTTTAAAAGTATCACTTGTATATGAACAGTCAAATGTTTAAAAGTAAACCTTAAAAACAGTGCAGTAAGAATTACAGTTGAAACAGACGAGTGTACCTGGTACTGGGTGTTGGGATCGGCGCGTAGCAGCGCCCTGGTAGTATCGGCGGGCGTGGTGAGCGAGGCGGGCTTCCTGCGGGCGGCGCGGTACCGCACCTTGTAACCAGTGAGGGCGCCGTGCTGCCACCGTTGCCCAGGTGCCTCCCACCGCACCAGTATAGACTGCCACAATAACACGACGTCACCCATTCAATCACATACGCTGTTCCGGTCGACACCAATCGAAATCTTTAAATCTTCTTTTAATATTCTCAATTAAAATCACGGCTTCAATAGGGGTGTAGACAACTTTATTTTATTTTACAGATATACATTAAAATATGTAAAAAAGCATCATTTTTAAATTACAATCTAAAAAACAATGAAAAAATATAAATACTATATAACTATTAAAGTTGGGCGGAGGTTTTCTGTAGGTAGTTTGAAGTAGATTCTATTTTTCTTTAAGTTTTTATTTCATGCTTTTTAGTGATATTTATATTTTTATATATAATCGTTAACACTAAAAACTTTACTGTTAACCCGCCTTAAATTCCCGTTGAAAAATCCTCTTTTCTTTCATATCCGGCTCGAAGGACCAATATGAATGAGTTGTTACTCTCGTCCAGTAAATGATGTCAGACGATAAGATAAAAATTGTCAAAAAGGATGCAATAAAATAATAATCTCAGCCAATACTACGGAGTTACTTTATTGTACTAAAAATTATAAGAATTTTTGCAAGCGCCCAAAGTAGGTCGCGATGTTGTATATTGCTTTCGAGGCAAACAAAGTACGTTGACCCGTACAAGTATTAAAGTGCGAACTTTTATTTTTTAGTCGGTTAGTATACCTAAAACCTCCTGAGTCTAACAAATACTATGCTGAAAACGTCATCAAAATCGGTTCAACCAAAAGTGAGATAATCACGCACAATGCACACACATACATACAGGTCAAATTGAGAACCTCCTTTTTGAAGTCTGGCCAATAAATTTAATTTTCAAAATTTCCCGTAAAATTGCAAACTTCTGTCATGGCGTCACGGCCCTCTGAAACTAACATCGTTCTATGTATGCATTAGGTTAAATAATTCTCTAAGTTCTGATATGAGTAAGAGGGGTGTGACCTCACGCGCTGTCTATTTTTCATTTCATAATTAATTTAAACAATATTATAAATATAATAAGCATAAAGGTGTGATTATCAGAAATCCAGTGATTAAACACTATCAGAAAAAAAATGTATTTATTATATTTGTTCAATTTTGCATTCACAATGCTATACTGAAAAATATTCTTAATGAACAATGCTTAAAAATCCCCTTTGTCCCTGGTACTCTGAGATGGGACTAGCACCCATGACCTTTCGCAATCTGGGCGACTGCTCTAACCACTGCTACTCAGGACCTAACAGGACTGACGAATTTTTCAAGCAATTGTTACTTTTGCGCCACTACAGAGCGTATTTTCATCAATGTTCAGGTAATCCGGTCTTTGTCCAGGCAATTTCGACTGTTAGGGTGAATTGCCTGAACATTGATGAAAATACACTCATATGTATACTAACATTGGCGCCGGTGGGTGTGGCAGTAACGTTGACTGGTGGCGCGGAGGGCACGTCGCCCGGTGTCTTGAACTTGACGGGCTCACCACCCCCCTCTCCGGCACCCGCCCCCTCCCCCGCCACCACGCGTACGGTGTACGTGCACGCGGGCCTGAGCCCAGACAGCGTCGCGTTATAGAGCTCCTGCGAGGGGTCCACCTCCACCGTCTGACTCTGCTCGACGCCCGTGTCCATCTGAGTATACGCCGATTTATAAAATAGGTATCTATATTTTCTACAATTATCGATCCCGATTTAAACTAAAACCTCTAGCATACAAGATAACGCATTATATAGTACTAGTTCTTTCTAAATAATAACTTACTTTTTTGTGTTACTACTTACAATACATCGATATTTTGCAATTACTTTAACTTCGATATTTTGGATATTAAAAATATATAGTAAAAGTCAGCAGATTGATATAAGTTTCTGTCGATTGTTCAGTACTATATAATTGTAAAAGATGTAATAATAAATTTAAAAATTGAAATTTAAAGAATACGCTGTTTTATACAACCAATGAGGAAGTATTAAAAAAAATTAGTTCCCGAAATCAAACTAGATGTCGCTACGGTACATTCTTGATTTTTCTTTCATGTTTAAAAGTAAATTAGTTTTCAAAACTCAATAAACAACTCTGAATCTATTTGTACTTTTTCATATTTGTATTGATATCTAAGTTTCGAACTTTTCAAATTTCACTTTTTTAATATGTTATTTAAAAGGAACGGAAATGACTGTTTTTGATCCAGTCGTTTCCTGCAAAAATCAACTTTTGCTAGAGTTGCCATCTAGTGGACGTGCTTTTTTTGTGCTTTCTTTTTTTTTAAATACATCCTCATTACATAGAAAATTCTATAAATCGATCGTACTATTTATTTATTTATTTATTCTTTATTGCCTAACTAAGGACAAATGGCGGACTTAATGCCATAGAGGCATTCTCTCCCAGTCAACCAGTTAGATTGTACAGAACAGTAGTAGGCGGTAAAGATTAAAAACGGTACATAAAATCGTAACTATAAGCATTGGCATATATACATACAATACATATACGCATATATACATAATATTAATATACATACATTATATATACATATACATTATAAGATATAACGAGTACTGAAATGGTGGTGTCTGATTATGAAATGGAAGTAGACAGGAAATAGTGGTTACGAGCTGCAGACTTAAATGCGAGTTTGTTTGGGGCATTACGAACTTCAAATGGCAATGCATTCCATAGTCGGATGGCAGTCAGAGTGAAAGAGCTGGATACGTAGCTGGAATGGTGAGTAGGTGTTTGAAGGATCAGATTACCACTGGAGCGAAGGTTTTTCTGGTGGGAGGCCCCGAGGAAGTGAAACCTAGATTTCAAATACTCAGGAGTATGTGGATCGAAAAGAATGTTGAAGAGGGTACATACGATCCTTAGGTTTCTGCGCTCACGAATGGGCAGCCACTTAAGTTGTAGACGGAAGTGAGAAATGTGGTCATATTTACGTAACCCGAAAACGAAGCGAATGGTGTTGTTGAGAAGACGATCCAGTCTGTTGAGGAAAATCTGATTGATATCTGAAGTACAAATATCAGCATAATCAAAAAGGGGATGTACAAGGGATTGAATTAACTCAGATTTAATGCAGGAAGGAATAAAATTCTTCAGCCGATATAGAAAACCAAGACTGCGGTGTATTTTGCGACAGATATTTTCCATCTGCCCATCCCAGTGCAAAGAACTATCAACTATATTATATAGTTAACACTCGAGCAATCAAAATAGAGCTCACATAATATTTCCTCCTAACAAATCTATTCACAATTTTCAATATGTATCAAAAAGTCATTAACATTACTTTTACAGTGCTATTAATAAGCAAGTTTAAGCGTCAGAGTAAATTTACGATAAATTACAATTTTAGTATTAAGCGAAATTTATATTATACAGAGAATCAGCAAAATTATCTTCTAGGTGTAAATATAACTTCCGTAAAACCCCGTACTAGATTAACAAATCAAATCAAAACACTGTTATTTTTACTAAGTGAGCACAACATTAAATTAGTTATCAAGTAAAATGTGGTAAGAGTGTAATATACCTCGGTGTATATCAGCGTGTAGACGGAGTGGGGGGAGAGGTCGGTGGAGGCGGGGGGCGGGGGCGGCGGCGCCCACGTGACGATGGCGGCGCGAGCGGACACCGCCGCCGCGCCACGCACGCGCGCCCCCGCCCACGCTGACTCCTCCGCCGCAGTGCACACCTCCAACTCCTGACGCGTGTGACACATAAAAGTTCCTCAGATCACAATTCTATCGCTTTTATTACTCCTTTGTAACTCCTTTGTAAAACGGTTTATACACATGGTATCAGCGTGTAGATACCACCGCGTATCACACTTTTTATGTGAAATGGTTTGTGAGGTAATAGTAAAAAAAAAAAGATTAACAAAATCTTTATGAAAAACTATTACCTTGGCATCAATACAAACGTAGAAAACTAGTGTATCCCAATGAAAAGGTTTGGCGAATTAATGATTTAATACGAAAAACTTTCGTCAACTTTTCAAAATTACGACCGGAAAGCGATATCAATTCGAATCGCGATCGGAGCAATATATTATTTTATCAAATAATATTTACACTTTCTTCTGATTATAACATCTAAGGTACCTGTGGCAATTGAGACCGCATTGTAAAAAGGGTTTCCTTTGAAATTTCGTGCTAAAATACTTCTATTCCGCGCTTAACGCAGATAGATAAGTTTGAATAGGAATAAAAGTATTTTAGCACGAAAGATCAAATTGTGTCATCTGCGTTACAGTCGGCCTTGTTACAACGCAGGCCTAATTGTCGCAGGTATATTAAATTTCTTTTTTTTTTTAAATTAAAAATACCAATAAACTACTTTACAGTGTATACGAGTATAAACGTATGAAACAACAGGAACGATATCGGAACACTCACGAGCGTGGGCGTGGATCGCGCGTGTGCGGTGTACGCTAGTGCGCGAAACAGATATGTGGTATTGGGCTGCAGCGACGGGACGTTCATTTCATGCCGCCCGCCCACACCGGTAGACATCTGCTCCCTGCACATGTATACGCACGCACATAAGTAATGCCGTCACATCACACCGAAATAACATTATTCCACTAACAGCCGGTTGCACATATGTCCATTAAAATTGTCATCAGTTTAAAGCGATATTTGGTCAGTTGGGCAAACGTCTATTAAACTACTATTAAACGTATACTTAATAAAAAAAAATCCAATTTATCCCTGCCATTCAGAGATAGGTTTCCATCTCATTGGACACATTCACAATCCAAAAATTATTATTGTGTTTCGCCAGTTCTTTTCAGAGAAGACTTCCAAATTTGGAACTAGTGGTAATTTACGGTAGCCAAAGGTAAATTCATAAGTCAAATATATTTTTAAAATAATTTAATTTGATAAATGATAAATATTTCCATAAAAAAAATGTTTTTTGTATTGTGAATGTGTCCAATAGTATTATTTTGAAGCTAGCTATACTCCTATCTAAAAATAATTTGTTAAATTAGTCTTATGTGGACAATACATAAACGCGATGAAACCTTTTGAAAGCTATTTAATTTATAGAAACGCGTAGAAACACTCACCTTTCGCTCCCCTTCACTTTGTAGATTATAGCATAGCCGACTATGTCTTCATTCTTCACTTCTGGTTCTTCCCAACTCAACGTTACAAATCTGTGCTTCACGATAACCGCCTTTAAGCTTTTAGGCGGAGAGATGACGCTCGCGTTCACAGTCTTCAGCGAATCTAAATCCAATTCTTTGGCAGCGTGAAACGAATTATCCAAATCATTATCTAGATCCGAGTCGTAGTCGTAATCATATTCGAGTTCGGGACCCGAAGTGAAAGCCGACGATGTTTCGCCGAGAAAGTCAGAACCTTCGATACCGTCGTCTGCGTTTTGGTCCCCAAAATGTCCCGAGGATATCAAACTATTAAAAATATCTTGAGTAGAGTTTTTATATGAAAATGGATTTTTTGGATATTTAGATGATATGGGTGGTATTAATAAATTATGAGAAGATTTCGATACGAAACCTTTTGGAGTACCGGTCACGTTAGTGTTAATGTCGACTTCTGTGGACAAATTAACAAAAGAAAAAAAATTAAATCTCAAACAATCGTAAACATAAAAGGATAAACCGAAGTCAACTCATTATAGATAGATAAATAGATAGTAAGGGAGAATAAAGGAAATGTGCAATGAACTAAATAAAGGAGAAATAAAATAACATGTCACGTGTGATCTGAATGTTAGATTGGTGCGTTACCGTCGGTAGTATGCTGGGTGACCAATAGCCGTATGATCGCGTGCGCGGTGCCGGCGGGCGAAGAGGCCACGCATTGGAACATGCCCGCGTCCACACTCAGCACGCCCTGGATGCGCAGCGACCATCTGCACACACAAATCTCACTCCAAGTTGGGGGCCAAGACCCATTTTGGGGCGCTCAATTAAAGGAGTAAGTGGATTTTAGTTGATCACATTCACTGTTTAATTTATCTAATTTGAATATTATTAAATTTTATATGCGGGTTTCCGCAAATACCGAAATCCCGCGGGATTAAAAATATTCAGTCCCGCAAGTACCGACACTGAAGTAAGACTGCTGGATTGGAAGCCCCATCCATATATTTTTTAAGGTCGTACCCATATTGTGTTAGTAACAACAATTAGGGTTTCGAGTCGGTTAATCAGTTGCCTTCGTTGTACGAAAATTTATCCCTCATATGAGTCCAGCAATCCGCAATAGTCTGGTTTCATTTCGTTCACGCAGTGCATTAAACATACGCCATGCAAACTTACTCCACTTACAGAAGGCAAGTATTAGATAGAATTATAATTTATTTTTAAGTTTTAATATTCATAATAATGAGCAAATGGTTGTCTCCACTGACCCGTCGAGCAGCACGAGGTCCTGCTGGTTGGGCGTGAGCGGTTCCCCGTCTTTGTACCACGTGACGGTGGGCGTGGGCTTGCCACGCACGTTGCATGGTAAGAGGGCCGTCCCCCGCGCACGCGCCTCCACAATGCTTTCCCCCGTGGACACGCGCGGTACAGTCTGTGCACAGGACGCTAGCTTACTACTCATGAACTTGTATTAAGTGTACATACGTGCGTGTTTGTGTGTGTGTGTGTGTGTTTGTGTGTATACGTACGAGCACGTGCAGAGTAGTGGCGGCGTCAGCGGAGTCCAGTATGGAGTGAGCGCGGCAGGTGTATGAGCCGGCATCGAGGGCGCGCGCCTGTTGGACGCGCAGGGACCCGCAGCCCCAGCGATAGAACCGCGAGTCCAGGTCGCTGCCAGACATAATAACGCACGATCACCACAAACAATGATTACACCACTATACCAGAACCTCCCAAAATAAGACAGATTTCCGAAATTAAGTGATATCTTATATTCGCTAACCTAATTTACTTTATATTAATCTTACTTTCAGTTTTTTCCTATGGATACAAAATGTGATCGATTTAAAAACTTAGGGGTATGGTTAAACAAAATAAATAAATACCGTTAAAACTAATTTTTAGATATTTGGTTTTTACTAAATGCCTTTGTTTAAACTAGAATTAACGAATGCTCAAATTGTATATCAGTCAAAAATAGATCTCAAAACGCGTTTTTCCGAAGGGAACTTTGTTAATTCTGTAATTTTTTTCAAGTACGAGTAAAAATCAAAGACTATTCTATACCTATAATATGAAATCTTTGGCAAAAAAACACTGTCTAACTTTCTCGCTCCCATGGATCAGTTGCAGTTTGCTTAACTGGTGATTTCTATCGTTGTCTGATCAAAATTACAAATGTTCAGGGGCTCTATTTTTGAATCATTCGTCTCGCGTCGAGCGCTCGTTTTCTACTGATTTTCGTTCGACTTAACAAATTCGCCATTTCTAAATCGCTCGACTGCAACGAGTGGTATGAACCACTCGTCGCTTAGCGAACGTTGTATGCGAGTGATAGAAGAAAACGAGCGCTCGACGCGAGACGAATGATTCAAAAATAGAGCCCCATATCTCGGTGATAAATCGATCGATTATTAAATGATTTCTTAAATTTGTCTATCAGTGTTTTGTTCAGAATAGATATAATATCGGTACAGAAAATTATTCTCAAAAAGGTGTAATAAAATTTAATGTATATAAACTTACTTGAGGTCGATTTCTACCCCGTTATTGAGCCACGTCATCTCTGGTTTAGGATTGCCCACTGCCGCACAATCGAACGTCACCGACGCACCTGTGGAGGTTGTATTTTACTACATAATTTAATGAATCATACTTATGTGTGTAACTCTTGCAATGCCAGACTTTTATGTACTTTCTGATGTAAATGCTATACCTAGCCTACCTAACGTTAAAAATTCTGCGTTTCGTCGGTAAAACATTCAGTTGCATAAATGACCATTAAGGTTTAATGACGCCATTAAGCTGTAATTAAGGTTAAATTACATAAATCGAGTGTTACCTTCTAGTACGGTGATGGTCTGTGGTGTTGCGACAAACCGCGGCGCGTACTCCGTCACTGTATCAGCATTCACTTTCAATTCAATCTCATCACTCAACCTGTCACAATCAAATATAAGTACATTATAAGTTTCTGAATCTAGCCTGAATAAAAAGGTACTTACTACCACGAGGCGGCATTTTTAATGCGTATTGTTTGTAGTTGCTTAGGCGGATTTGCCCTAAGACCTATAATAGACCCGGACCTAGAGCGGCCAGATATTAGGATAATAAAATATTGTGTGCCAAAAGCTGAATGACAAAATACCGTGTTATGATATATAATAATAATCTTCATTTGTTTCTCCTAGATGAACTTTTAAATTAACGCAGTTATTTAATAATGAGAATAAAACAATTGTTAAAACATTAAGTATTTTTACAATAAACGTTGTAGAGAAAGTGAATTCATCTGCCATGCCCAAATTATTAAGTTAAACCCTTTTTTAACTCTAATAATTTGGCTCGTACTATATGGGCAAGGGCGGTCAAGTCTGCAAATCCGCCTGGGTATAGTTGTGTTATGTGGTTCACTTACCTGTGCAAGTGTGGTCGGTGGGGTAGCGTGACTCGGCACCGGTACGCTCCGGCGTCGGCGGCGGTGAGCGGGTCCAGCTCGAGCGCGCCGCTCGCCGACACGGACACGCGGCCCGCCTCCGCCGCCACCGCGACCCCGCCCCGCAACCACGTCACCTGTAACACAATTCAATATTCTATAACTACACGTTTCGACCAGATATTGACACTTAATTTTTTATACATACATTTTTCTAGAAACAAAACGACGACGGCGGGGATTCGCCCACTAGACTAGAGTCAATCATTTTACTCACACGAACTTGCGATAATCATGTCGCCGTGGCAAAAAAGAAGCCGTTAAATCTGCGTAGACATACGAGAACGTTTTCAAATAATATTTATAAAATGTCAACGGGGATATAAAAGATTGAACTCCAGCGAAACGTAACCGATATCAAGATCCTGTCACTTCGATTCAATTCCTCCACCCGAATACTTACACTATACTTGTATCTATAGTCGAGAGGCAGATATTTTTAATAACAGACGAAAATTTGAATGAAATGAGAACTGTTAATGAATTAAATAATAGCATTTTTGCTCAGTTAACAATTCTTACTTCACCAAAATACTTATTTATTTGTATTTACTTAAGTAATTACTTTTATTCGGTTATAAGTACGGGTGTTAGAATCGGCTATAATTTATATACACACGTATACGTAACAGTTACTCACGTAATAATATTTGTGTAGTATAGAGGTAAAGAATGTACATACATTGAGTAGCAATGTAGGTGGCGCGTGATGTGTTTTAGTGGGCGGGTAGACGCGTCGGTCTGGTGGCGCGGGCGACAGCAGCCGCAGGTTGAGCCTGGGCGGCACGGATATCCCGCACGATAACAACACAGGCGCGCCCACCACGCCCGACACCCACCGAGGACCAGACAACAACGACGGCAACTCTGACCACAGAACACACAACCAGCCATCACTGAGTGCCCCAGAATCTTTATATTATGACATATGCACTAGGGTTCTTTAAACGTTTGACTCAATTAAAGGTAACAAATATAGTGCCGACAAAAATATCTCTTTAATATTATGTGATTGGTGTACCCAGTGGCGTAACTACAGGGTGGTAAGTCGGCAAAATGCTAACAACCCCCTCCCCCCCATATCCGATGAATTTACCACGGACCTCAAACGGTATAAGCCAATATTACGCCACTGGGTGTGCTTGTTTTTTCTAACAAAATGAGTCAACTTGAAGAATAAATTTAGAAAATTTTTGGTTAGATAACTTGACCGTGTAAGTTATCTAACCAAAAACAACTTCTACGTAAATCTTGTCACGAAACCTCTTACTGTCGAATGGCGAGCGTCAGAGGTTCGCGTACCACACTTTGAAAAACCCTGCTCTATATCATTCATTATCATGAAAACAAAAAAAAAACTCAAACTGAACTATAATTACACAAGCAAAATATGATTTATTCGAATAAGCTTCTTGAGAACATTTGTATTCGTCTAACATTTATTAACTACTGTGATACTATGATTTGTGAGAATTTATTTACAATAAAATAAAAAATAGACGGAGTTAAATAAGTATACGAACGAATTTGTAGCAAAAATTTGACACAAGTAATTTTAGTAATTTTAGATGACACATCTATTATATTGACTTACTATTGTTTAATACACGTACGTTAGGTAGAGCAAGCTGAAGTTCACGATATATCGAATATTGATTCGGGAGAACACCCCAAACCGGATAGATTGAATTTATCCCAAGTAACATCTTTATCTTTCCCTGTTCCTTATATCACTAGATTTGTTATTACATCCATATGTATTTCCTTCCTATACTTAAACAGTGTTATTAGTAAACCAGGTCAATTTAAACAATTACACTGAGTCTGCACTTGGTCTTAGTCAAAATTCATATTATTAAACAGAGATTTAGCAAAGGTTAACCTAGTACGAGGTTCTACGGGAGTAATATTTAATCCTAGAAGGAAGTTTGCTCATTCTCTGGATAATATGAATTTGGACATTAGTTCAAATTAACTGAAATTACAAATTTAGCGTAAATACACTCTAACGTTAAACTTTGTTTATTAATAGCACTGAAAAAGAATAATTATACTTGCAGAATGTGAAAAAAAATTAACATTTTCTATTATTACCAAGAAAAAAAAATACCACTCAAGTTCAAAAATAAGTTACATTTCTCAGTTACGACAGTTGTTACGCATATTTTTATGAATAGGTTTATGTGTATTGAAAATTCAATGTTCCACAAACATCGTACGATTAATATACAATATCAATAATACGTATGTTTGCTTTTACCGATTATAATGCAAAATCTTATATATAAAAATGAATCGCAAAATGTGTTGGTAAGCGCATAACTCAACAACGCCTCGACCAATTTGGCCAAATCTTTTTTTAAAATGTTCGTTGAAGTTCAAGGATGGTTTTTACGGCGAGAAAAATTAGAATTATTGCTGGAAAAACCCTAAAAATAGCCCTTTTCTTTTTCCCATACAAATGATTTGTAACTAAAACGTAGTCAATTTGAGCTTTATTGCTATGGTATAAAGTTCATATTAAATTACAAGCACTCACTGTTGTCTAAGCAATGTAGGTGTGTTCCTAACGTCAAAGATCATATCTATCAAAACAATGTGCGTGTGTGCGTTGGAGCACAGAATACATAGTTGGAGGAGTTCACAACGCCCTATCACCAGGGTGACGGTTCTGTTCAGGAGAATTTTTTTAAATACGTAGGCAAAAAAACTGCCACATTACAAATCTTTTTGACAGGACGAAGTCTGTCGGGTCAGCTAGTGTAAAATAATTACTTTTAACTTCGTTAAACAAAAAATTTACCATTAAATGATTGGCAGGTATTATTATTTCCAGGACAACTGGTGCTACCAATATTAATATTTTTCTCTTATGTAAATAAATATTTTTTCTGTGTGAAATAGTTGTGTTGAAATTAAATATAGGTATGAAGAATTATTTATCTATCTACCAATATTGTCATTTGATACGATTGTATGTTCTCATATAGACTTTCTATATACTTTCAGTTTATCTCCAAACTCTGATTGATCAGGTATTATCAGAAGATGGTCTAAAAAGTCAGAATTTGAATGACAAGGAAGCGAAAAACGGATATAAAAACTGTGTGTCCGTCTGTCTCTATCTTACCCAACAAAGGACCCGTCGCGATGGGACTTATACACATAAAGATAAATCGGCTCACCAGCTAAGAACACGGTCGCCACCCTGGAGACTATGGTGCCGACGTTGCGGACGCTAGCCACACACTGGTACTGACCCGTTAATGCTTTAGACATGTTCTCTATCACTAGCGAACCGTTCAGCAACTGTTTTCTGCAACAATTTTGTTATACATATAAATATAGTAAAATTAATTTTAACATATTGATAAACAACATAATATATTGTACTAATATCCAAGTAAATAAATTAGGTATGGGCAATCTTTAAGTTCTTACAGACCAATCGGATGTATTTAAACGTATTACAGCTTTATTTTGGCACTTGTGTCTCCAAAAACATCCGGCTTCTTGACGACATCGACGTGATAATTTGCTTAGATCTATCTAAAATATATGATTATTGCACTAGAACTATATGCAGTATGACTATATTGCACCTTGTTAACTGCATTCTCCATAAGTGAAAGGAGACTCAGGACTTCTAAGATTCAAATGTTGAACTGCGAACGTTGTAAAAATAGTCAAAAGTTTATTTGCAAACTTAATCAAGAAGATATTATACCTGTGCTGGTCATTTGTGGTGTGAGCTTGCTCTCTAGTAGGTAGACCAGTGGTGCTATACCGCCAGCTCAGAGTGACTGCGTGTTTGGAGGCGGCAGAACAGGACAACATAACTTTGTCTCCCTCTAGCACCACTTCGTCGTTTGGCTCCACCAAGAATCGGACTCCGGGATCATGCTGGAGCTCTTCACCGCCTAGAACGAAATGAAATATTATAATTATTATATTTTTAAGGTGTAGGTAGATACTATGTAATTGTTTTTAAATCTATACTAATAATAAAGCTGAAGAGTTTGTTTGATTGAACTCTTAAAATCTCAGGAACTACTGGACTAACTGAAATATTGTTTGTGTTGTATATTTCACTTATCGAGAAAAGCCTTAGGCTATATAACATCGCACTGTGACTTAAAGGAGAGGAGCAAGAATTGAAGTGTTGCAAAAACGGGAGAATATTTTACATTTTAAAGCTTTCCCTGCGTGCGCTACGTAAACGGTGAAAATTACGCAAAATCATGTATTACGAAATTGATCACCTTTGAAAATTCTAAAACAAGTCCGCGGCAGTATGTGTCTATCTTATACTATATAAAAAAAGCACATAAAGAGATACGAAAATGGCGGTCGAAGTTCGTATAGTGCATTAAACGTTACCATAGACACCATTGTTTACAATTAAATTTGTCATTGTATAGGTAATTCCATGTCATCCTTTTCCAAATCCATTAATTATTGTAATGATTTAAGCTCTTTACGCAGGATTAAATAATGTTTTAGTTAATTCAAGTCGGTACAATCGTTGTGTAATCTTATATTAAATGTATATGTTATGTTTGTTAAATACACGAACATGTTACATTTAGCTCAGCTACTGATCGCTAGATGACATTTTTATCAAACAAAGTTGCTTACATTTTCAATTTTGCGCGTCTGTCCGTCGGTCTGCGCTTTAGCTTAAACACTATTTATATTAGAAAGATATAATTTAGCCGCCACAAAGTGGTAAAATAAATCTTGAAAACAATTTTTTTTTAATCCTCCCTTCATGTAAAGTTGAGGATGATTTTTTTCTTATCTTCCCATTGTATGGAGTATCGTTGGATTGGTCATTCAAAAATGTTAAAGATGTGTCAAGTGTTTCTCGGCTTTCACCGAGAGGATGAGCTACTAATGGTAGGGAACAATTTTATCTAAAATAGCAACTAAAATTCAAATCATTATAGTTAAATAATAGATTTGGTGAAAAAAATACTGAGTAGACGAATTATATACGTTGGATACCTACAAATTAAATAGATGGCAGAATATCCGTTAGCAAAATTTCACGCACGTCCCAAACTAAAATTTCTAAAAATGCTGAATTAAAAAGCAAGAACAAGCTGACCATTAAGTTACTAAGAGGATCAGGCGTAGAATAAGATTTTAATAAAAGGACTGTTGTTTCAAAGAAAACATTTGTTTGTATTTTTCGCAAGGCGTGTCGATTCTACTGCGCACTAAAATAGAAAGAAGAGCAATTGGACTATTTTATGAAGACATGCGCGTACACAGAACACCGGTAGCTTTTCCATAATAGCGTTCATCTATTGGACAGGCACATGCCCCAGCAGTGGAACGTTGATAAGCTAATGATGATGATATAAATGTGGCAGATTTTTAATTAAGATTAGCTTAAGGCTTCAGTACAGCAGGCCAGTGTGCACACAGTACCCTCGGACGTGGGCGACAGTTGGACAACTTTTATACATATATACAACTTTTATATACTTATACAATTATGAATTATATCAAATGACTCTATTTGATGAATTCAATGGATGAAAATAAAACCAAATATATTTTATTATGGTATTTATGTCCGCTTTACCATAATAAAAAATGCTATAGCGAATTCATCCATCCATTATATTTTTTGTAATCCTTTTAACGATGACGAAGGAGGCTTTGTGTTAGAACATCTGGTTAAGAATATACGAGGCACAAAAGGTCCTTGTTGGATCTTTATTTCTCGTCAACTTTATTTTATTGGCAAAAGGCATGCCACGAATTCGGAAGTTTGAATAGCTTAATGCCTTACATATTTAATAAGCAAAAGTACGACAAAGATCGCTGATCCATTACACCGGTGTGCACTGAAGTATATCATAATCTCAATAATGCAAATTTTAAAGCGTATTGATGCAATCTTCTACTTTCATGGACTATGCTCTTACTCAACTTATATTCACTAATATAAATTTATTTCTGTGAAACCACATAAAACCAAACCTTCTTCAATATAGTAAATATCTTAGTTTAAAAATTTTGAATTTTGAATTTTGAAATAATTTTATGTGCAAAATTATAAAGAAGTTAACGTAAATCGAAATTGATATTAAATCAAAAAACAATTAGAAATATGAATACAACATGTAATTGTTAAGATATGTACGAAGAATAATATTAAGCAAAAATAAACTATAAATGTAAGGCATGATAAATGTTGAAAAGAAAGACGAGGTGAAAAATAAGCTCCAATGATAAAGGTGAAAAATATTATACCTAAATACTGTTATAGAGTGGGGAAAATGAATGAAAAAAACTTCTTCAGTAATGACTTAGTCCATTGGTAAAGGGCAGGCTGTGGGATTTTGCTTTATAATTATCTTATTTTAATTTTTAACTATGATGTATGTATCTTTGATATATTCTAAACCTTCTCTTAATTCGTATTCGAGAAGAGCGTAATTTATATTTGTATGTGGTGGATGTCTTCAGTCAATGGTCAATAAGTTTATTCCGACCGTTGCGATACGTGGTTAAACTCTATATCCCGCGTCGCCATCGCGAGCATCCTCCACGTCGAGTGCAATCGAGACCCTCATGTGACACATGACACGAGTCAGCGCCCATAATTGGGTCAATCGGTCCTTGATCACTTATAGAACCTTATGACATCGTCGTATATTATTAAGCAATAAATGAGTTTGAGTTATACTACCAAGTGTCCCATCTATAGGCGTGTTCATGTCATTTCCTTCAACCACAGGGAGAAATGCAGTCAAGTCCAACATTTGGCTTGCCCTTTCCCTTATTATATATTTGATATCGACGAAATATCTTCTTCCATACTTCCTGATCAGACATATCAATATTCACTAATTTCTTATACATATCATCTTCGACATTATCTTATCAATCCTTTCTTCGATCTTCTTTCCTTTACACTTCCGTCATGGTCATGCAGTTATAAACTCTTTTTTTTTACATGCAAATCATCTTTTCTCAGTACATTGTATACCAAGATAACCTGTTGAGTGAAAAATCGGTTAACATTATCCAAGGTCAACTACCTATATTACAAAAAAAACTGGCCAAAAGTGTAGTGATACATCCATCATTTAGAATAGGTTTTTACTATAATGCAGACAAACCGTCTACCCCCCCTCCCCTGTATTAACAAAATGCCGCGTCACACACTATGTAATTCGGCAAGCATTATATCGTTAAACAGCCAGCTTTATTGTAATTTCTTTGCACAAAAGAACGTCACGTTTTAATAAGTGATCCAACATGTCACGTCACCGTTTCCGTATAAGTTACAAAACACGCGTATTGTTATTGATTACCTTGCTATTATTAAATTACTGCCTGTTAATCGCCAGAATATGACGTGCGCATTTGTGTGCATGCTCCGAGAGGTCCAGGTAGGTAGAAAGTATGAGGCATTAAAGTTGAGGAGTAGGCCTCGCTACGTCACAGTTTTGTAGAAAATGTACCAAAGCGTGACGTCATGTGACATTTTAACTCAATGTATCGCCGTAATTTACTGATTACGCAAAAAATAAAAAAAAATACGTGTTTAATATTTTTCAACAATTTACCTGACGGACAAACAAAAATATTTAATAGTCATCCCTATTCAGTTAGCTTGGGAAAGAAGCAATGTATGACTATATTTATTTAGTAGAACAAGCAAGTTTTCCCAGATGGATTTAAATATAAGTTGATGATTGTTAATTAAGTTGATGACTCTAAATTTAACGCAGACATTATAGCGGAGAAGAGTTGGTTTAGTATACCAAAAAGACCAATTTAATTTTATTTCCAGATTATTTGGGGCGGATCATAAGCCTTTGTTTTAAGCTGATATTTATTTCAAGATTAGTGAGCCGTATGGAAGCGACACAACTCTAGAGCAAGGCTTTCTGTTTGGTAAAAGCCTGGGATGAATACGGGATTAAATGGGACGCCTGTTTTCACCAATTAAGTTTCGAACTCATTAAATTCAATTTATAAACTATGCTATCTATTTTCTGTTAGCGAGATTGCCCATGTTATGATGGTTTTAAAATAAAAGACAATATTCAAAGATAGTATAGAAAAGGTTGTGGGTTTGAGTTCCACCAAGGGGTACTTGCGGCTGGTGTAAATAAATAAAATTTGATTTATTTATAAATATTTTTAAAGTTGTAAAGGGACGATCGATTCGCTAATCTGCGGTGGAAGACCGTTCTTAATCTACTTATTCAAAAGAACGGGCAACAATATCAGCAGTCTTTCTCAGTATTAATTTTTTTGACAATCCTAAATAGCATGTATACACTTAAGATGTCTGTTTCCAATTTTATAGTTATTTATTTATATATTTCGGGACACAAATCAAATGTGCTTGGTCAGTTCAAGATTCGTATAAGCCTTAAGTCATATACTTACATAAAAATAAAGACAGAGAACCTTAAACTAGATATTATGTCATCCACAGAATCAAGTTCAAGTTCTCTCATTGATTCGAAGACTAACTAATCACAAGCTTGTCCTCAGACGACAAACACCACTCTTCCTTTCGTTCCTTATGGATGTAAGAAAGCGTGCTAGAACTAAATAAATAAAATCAATTAGGGAATAGCCCCTAGAGGTGCCTTTAAGTAGACATGATATAGGTAGACTTCTATCTCGAACCACAACGGACAGTTCGAGGGTGCGGAAGCTATCGAGGGAGAAGCGGAAAGCGTGCATACCACACGTAATTACCTATACTGTGGTAACACGGTGACTCGGCATCTGACATAATTGGGTCAATCACTAATCCATTGCGACGGGGAATTAGTAAGTGCAGAGTCACGATGCGCTCGCACGCTACCACGAGAACAAGCCTGAAGGCTTTCGTAGTAATATGTTACGTAACATCGTTAGCCAGTTATATAATAAAAAT